CCCCCCCCCCCCGCAGACTAGCGTGTGGAGGTGGGGAATGACCCTTTGTATGTCACTGAAGAATTTCGATAACATTTCATCATAACCCCCCTGTTCCTCTTCCGCCTTTTTCATCTCTATCGTTCCGCTATGGTACAGTGGCCTTGGAGAGACGATAGAAATCAAAGGAAGTGACACATTACCCTTTGTACGTTACCGAAAAAATTGTTTATAATAATTTAATGTGCACTGTTTACTCGAAGTGAAGTACTGGAAGTAAGAACAGATTTGAGAAGATTTAATCCAACCTGTGCGAAAATGGACTTCTCAAAAATTAACAAAGTGACGCGTCTGGAGGGTTTCCTACCAACGAAAAAATTATGAGAATTGGAGGTTGAAAAAGAATACAAGATTACCAGCATAAGGAAAATTCAAACGAAATTTGGAGCAAGACACATCGTTGACGTGGAAAACAGCTTCTCAGTATTCCTACTAACAAGGATCTCGAAGGTTCTGACGGATGATGAGGAATTCTTTCAACGGATGGTTTTGGATACCGCTGAGAATCGGTTTTGTATGCGTTACCTCGGTGGGACGTTCAACCTCGTCAAATTTCAATATTTGTAAACGTTCATACTTATGGTCTAAATAAATAAAATGCTACGTAATTGACAAAAAAATACAACTGCTTATTTCTTTCATACACACACTTTATTGAGATTTTAGGCTTACGCTGCCAATATTGTCATTAGTACTCATGGTTTTCGGATGGAAGCCGCGTCTGTGTTCAGCTTCTTTCCGACGTTTCGTAAACGTTTCAGTCTGCATATTCAAGGCTAGGAGGCTCCGATACTGAAGCTCCCTGTTGTCAGGAAGTCTTAACATACCTATGGTTGCTCATGCGGATCAGTGCTTCAGCCAATTGATCAGCTGATCAACTAAAAACAACTTATGATTGGCTGAAGCACTGATCCACATGAGCAACTTATTAAGACTTCCTGACAACAGGGAGCTTCAGTATCGGAGCCTCCTAGCCTTGAATATGCAGACTGAAACGTTTACGAAACGTCGGAAAGAAGCTGAACACAGACGCGGCTTCCATCCGAAAACCATGAGTACTAATGACAATATTGGCAGCGTAAGCCTAAAATCTCAATAAAGTGTGTGTATGAAAGAAATAAGCAGTTGTATTTTTTTGTCAATTACGTAGCATTTTATTTATTTAGACCATAAGTATGAACGTTTACAAATATTGAAACACACTTTATTGTTAATCAAAAAATATACATTCCATCATCCATGTCCTTAATGATTTAACATTTTCCATCGCACAATTGAAATGCGGAGCATGGTGATGCGTACATAGGGTAAGTGCATTTTTTCGCCACTTTTGCAGCGAAGGGCAGTCCAGATCTCCCAAGTTCACGATATTTAACGATTGCCCTATAAAATTCTCCAACTAATTTTTCTTTTCCAATCCTTTTACATAAATTCTGGTAGCATCTCGTAAAATAACTCGAAGAATATTTCTAGCATGGTTGTAAGATATATCGTTGGAGTTCCAAGAGATACCATGAAAGTTGCGTTGTAACCACAAATTCATGCAATTGTATTTCGCCAGAAGAGAGCACCATGTACATGGTGGTTGAAACAGAAACGTCGCAGGCACGGAGAAATCGTTACCCACTCCAATCATAGACAGCTCCTTCAAGACAAACTCGTCCGAGAGTTTCTGGAAACCTTGTACGTCCACGACGAATTCCATTGTGACAGACTGCTTGCATAGAGATGATCGTAGGGTTTTTATACTAATCTTTTCCCCCCACCACTAATTGGATTATATTCTACTATTCGATCATGCAGAATTAAACAGAACGCTGATGTTTCGGTGAGGAAATTTTGGTCTGCCTCGAATTCGAGACGAACGTCGTCTGGTCCAAATTTGAGCGACTCATGTTGCTTGGAGCAATCGATGATGATTAGGGGACCATAGGCGAGGAAATCACTCTTCCTCAGTATGGGCTCAGGCTCTTTGCCGTAATAAGTAGCTTGAAAGTTTACATACATCTCGTAGAGCAGAGCAAACTGATTTCGATCAATGTCAAGGTTTACGTTTCCATAGGGGCAGCATTACGAATTCAAGAAGAGTTTAACGTCTCTGACATTGCAGTAGTCAAAGTGACTGGCATTCTTATTTTTATTATTCTTTTTGCCAGTTTGGAATCCCAATATGACGTATCGAGGTTTTTCAAGTTGACTGTACGTCTTTTTGACGGTCCAGACGTGTTTGAACGTGGTAGGGAGTAGAGGATACTCGTACATTTCCCAGATACGGAAGCTCATAGAGATGGGTGCATCCTTCTCGATGAATTTCAGCAGTTCTATATTTCGCCGCTCGGAAACCTTTACGTACGGTATCAACCATTCCAATTTTTGAATTACAACTTTGCATTCTTCCGGAGCAGTTTGCACAATGGCATTGACATCGGTCTTTGCTCTCGTCGGAATCAACTCGTGCTTAGCGTTTACGACGATCTTGCGATAATCTTCGGCAAAGCCTAGTATCATACTCAGCGGTATGGATACGTCAAAGTAATCAGCTGCATCAGTCAATGACTTTCCTTGCATCCAACCAGCGTTATCCATCACCGAGCGTTGACCAGGAGTTAGCGAAAGGTAGCCCTTCGTAAGACCCGTGAGACCAATGTTCTTATTTCGATCGATCTCTATACTATTCATTTCACAACGAATCTCATCGAAGAGATGACAAATGCCGTTATTAATCTAGGTTGTGTCTGTAGCCGCCGTAGAACCATCTTCCTTGACGAGCTTTCCGTATACATGCAGCGAACTTCTACTCGGTAGTAAACACAGGTTTTGATGTTCTACGGAGATTCGTACTTCATCACTATTGTTGAACGTTGACGATGCGTAAGGCTGGTGTGCATGCGTTTCGCAGTGCGCTATAGACTCATCGAAGGTGATTGGTGTCCGAATATTTAAAGTTTCTTCCTCCATGGTAAGCAGCGGATAAAAATAATGCAGCAGCAGAATGAACGATTTCCTCTTCCAACTGGTGTGACCTTGAGTCCCAGATTTCTCAGGAATAACACGTTTTGAGGTGTTAACGCTTTGTGGCGCGGACGATGACTGATTCCTTTTAGATATATCGGTTTATTATTACAGCCGCTATTATAACCACTACCAATCTTTCGGTTATACACGATCCCCATTATCACATGGAT